GTCTCCCGTGCATCTTGGCATCGAAATGCCGGAGCCACTCAGCAAACGTTGACCTGTTTTGCCATGCAGTCTGGTTGTTGAAGCACAAAAACTTCATTTGCTTGGTGTTGGCTTTGCGAAATGCTCGTGGTTGCTTCGACCTGCCTATGACAACGAGATCCATCTTCTCGGTCCCGGTCATGTTGCAACACACTACGACTGTGATACGGTCCTTCTCTGACTTCTTTCCGTTGCGCTTGACCGTTGCCAGGTCCTTGTTCGGAGGCAGGCGATACAGCTGTTTCGTCAAAAGTGAACACAACTCGTGGTGAATATTGTTCTATCAGCTCTCTAAGCTCCATTCGATTCACTGCGAGTTGAGCGCGATCAACTGAGGCTGCCTCGCCGTGAAGGACATGCTGATGGATGCCGTGTCGAGTCTTAAATTTGTGCAACCACGCATTCAAAAGCCTCAGGTCGTTCTCGCTTATCCCTTGAGCGGTTTGTATTGAGCGACCTTCTTATAGTAGTAGATCGTCTGTGAGAATCGCGTTGCCGTCATTGAGACGATGGAATGCGAAGAACGCAGCCTCAAACGATGGAACCAGCACCTTTCGATTGCGCTTGCTGTCCGTGGCAAGGAACGCGTTGGCTGGTGCCTGACGAATCCGTTCTGCTGCCGTTGTGGAGATCCGAAGGCCGAGCTTCTCCCTGACCCAGTCTTGGATTTGAAATAGTTTAATGCCTGGTGTGCGTGTGATGTGAACCTGACGCTTTTGCTCCATCGCCAGAATCGTTCGCTTTGACGACATGTTTGAGGTAGAACGGAAGCAAATGTGCAAAGTGGCAGGCAATGCGAGACTGTGGCAAGTCCAATATAGAGGGAAACTGGTGGTTGGTGCGCCTTGTTTTAGTACCGTATTTCTGAAGTCTCTTATATCGAGTCAGCACACAAAAACCAAGTGACGCAGCTTGGTGCGGGACACGAACTTCCTTAAACAGGAATTTAACCCTCGGTAGAGGTTCTACTATGGAGGGACGACGGTATTTCTGTTTTTATTCTGGTGTATACTTTTTGTCTCCACTTCTTTCTTGGCTTTTTATCGACGTTCGTTTGCAAATATGCGGCCACAGCCGATGTGTGCAATTACAAGCGCACCCGTCCTCGCTAAGAGCACCCGTCCTCTCCAATTGCATGCAGCGGCTGTCCGTGTCATTGATCTCACTCGTCCGACAGCCCAATCTTCATGCGGTCCTCGTAGCTCAGCTTCTTCATCTCCTTCTTCTCTCCAGCCGCCATCGCTGCACCCCCTGCCACTGCAAAGACGGTGGCCGTCTGCAGCACCACTCGCGCCTGCATGAACTTGTTCCCCAACTTGGACTGTCCGCGCTGGAACGTCACGAGACCGCCCAGTAACACGGCCGCCGTCAGCGCGCACCCGAGCGGCACGAGCGGATCTTCCTTCACGCGCGTCCACAGCGACTTTGTGCCGCCGTAGCGCTCGTCTTCCATCCAGCTGAAGTCGCCTGCTGCATATACACGCGGGGGCTCTGCGCGGTTGGAAGACATTGCGGTAATGGACGACGACGACGACAACGACGTTCGGTTGTGGGTGGGTAGGCTGCAATTGTTGATTGGGCAGACAGCTGCTGCAACAGACGCGCTGCGACAAACCGGTGACGTCGCCTGCTCGAAATATATAGGACTACCTATGCTGGTTAGCTGCAGTACATTACCAGCTTATAAAACATCAAGCACCTCGACTACATCCACGTAGGGCAACGCGTCCAAACTGAAGTTGACATGTGTAACGCACCCGCCATCTTGTCCCGAGCATCGTCATGAGTCGTTGCGCGTCTGTGATCTCTGTGCGAATTTCGGATTCCGATAGCAATGAACTGCTTCGTTGACGTGGCGGAGCGACGGATAGGTACGATCATGAAGGACAGCTTTGGATGATGGCCGCAGTTTTGTCGATTGTGCTTTGGGGATAACTTTTCGGCCCCCAACGTGGAACTTCAGTAGCTCAGGACGGTCCCACCCGAGTCGAGATCAACCGACGCAACGCTGTAGTTGCTGACTCACTATGTAGCGTCGGTGCCATCCATGACGTCAGTTGTTCTGCCTCTGAACTTGGATTAGTGGCAACTCACGCGCGATCCATGTGAGCGATCGATACGTGGAAGAGGGGGGCAAAGAGGGCAGAAGGTTGTTATGTGCATGCAGCGGTGTTGTTCACTTGTTGCATTGAATCGGTGAAACGACCACAGTTAGCGTCAAGAGTTGGAGGCAGCCAGTGTGGTGCCTCCAAGTCGGCAATGCTCCTTTCGGTCTGGCGCTCTGCTGCATTGGTCGTTGATCTCTACACGACGTTACGTTTGTGCGTTAGTGCTTGCGACCCACATCAAGACGCGCTGTACTTTGTGGCGCAACGCAGCAATCACAAGTTGTTGACATCAGTAGATGCAATGAGGCGAAACGATTGACTGCAATCCGGCGACCTTTCGCTGGCAAAATGGTTCCTGCTGCACGGGTGCAAAGCTGCTTGCTAAAATACACGAGTATAACCACCCTGCACTCCAAGCGCGGATGCTGCACCCGTGCTACATCTTGATCGTGGCAATGGTGGCTTCGACAGCTTCACCGCTTTCTTAGATTGTACATAATTATGAGCCCCCTTTTTCACGGCAGGCCTTGTCCTTGCCATCTGCGGTATGCTTGTACTGATCCGCCTTCGCCATTGCTTCAGCAGCACGGAGTTTGCGCTCGACATTTGCGCGGCGTCGATCAGTTTTTGGAAGCAGCTTGCGCGAAGCCGTGAGGTGCTTCACAGATTCGGTCCACGCCTCGTTTGGCGTGAGCACACTATCCGCATATATCAAATGCGTCTCCCAATTCTTCGGCCGCAACTTGAACGAGCGCTGGAAAGCTGCGATAGCCTGCTGATAGTCTTCCAAAGCTGCAAAAATACGGCCGTACGTACACATCAAAATGCTCCAACTGGTTTTCTCATACTCCGGAACTACCGACAACGCGTTTTCCACAATCGTTTTAGCACGTTCCGGGTCTATGGGCAGCTCCAACAACGCGCGCAAGTTCCATACAGATGCATCAGAAGGGTCAATCTTTAGTGCCTTCTCTAATGCCTCGCGGGCTGCCGGAAAGCGGCGGTTTCGCTGCTCAATCTTGGCCAACTCAATGAGTAAAGGTGCGTCGTTGGGTACGTGCTGTGATGCCATGGTAAGCACTGAACGTGCTGCCTCGTAATTCTTCAATCTGGCTTCGACACGTGCCAAAGCACGCCACGATTCAATGACCGTCGGCTGCACGTTTGTAGCCTCGTCATACAATTCTCGTGCATTGTCCAGCTCTCCGTGTTGCTCCTCGAAATCGCCAAAGGCGTGCAACACAGGACCAGTGTGCTGAAGATTGACAAGTGCACTTTCAAACACCTTGCGCGCGTTGCGCATGCGCCCGCGACGTTTGTACAGAACGGCGAGCGACATAAGGCTAGGCACATGATCAGGGTGTTGTTCCAAAGCTTCAATGTACAAGCCAATTGCTGCATCTTCGTTGCCCAACTCTTCCTCCATCTTCGCATATGAGTTGTACGCCGACGGCTCTACAAACAGCCCACCGTCAATAAGTCGGCGGTATGCACGGCGTGCCTGATACACGTCGCCGAGCTTGAAGTGGGCCATGGCACCCAGCAGGATCAGCCACTTGTGTGTCGGAAAGCGCCCAAACGCCGTCGATATCACGGCCAGCGCATTCTTGTACAGTCCAGCGTCATACTCTGCTTTGGCCCATGCATGCCAGACTTGACCAGTAGCGCGCGGGTGCGAAACAGCGTTCTGAAAAATGCTTCGAGCTAACCCAACGTGTTGGCACTTGGCTTCAAAGACGGCATAAGCTTGCATAATCAACACGTCCTTCGGATGTTCTTCCATCAGTTCCTGGAATCGCTCACGAGCTTCATCTGGCAGTCCCGCCTGCACTTCCCAAAGAGCCATTCCTAGTCCCGCCATTGGGTTCTGCGGGTCTGTCGCCAGAATCACTTTAAATATGCGCTTGGCTTCTTGCAAGTTCTTTGCCTCCAGCTCCATCGATCCCCACGACGTCCAGAGCTCGACGTCAAAGGAGATCCGAGACGCTTTGGAAAAGATCATCCGTGCCAGCCCGTGATTCCCTGCCTTCCACTCCTGCACAATCAACAACTCGTTTAATCACTGGCCGTCTGCCGACTAGCAACAAATCCACGCATCGCACTCGCAAAAAAACACGCAAATTGTCTTCACGATCGACCTCGAAAGGTATCGTTGATCGTCTGTCGTACCATAACGCCCCACTTGTTCCACATGCCCATGTCTTTTGGGTATTGGCGCTGCAACACCTTTCGAAACAGATTCCGAGCCGCCGGTACGTCGTCTCGCACCAATTCGTTCAGCGTCGGCTCCTGTCCCTGCCAGCGGCTCTTGAGGCCGTTCAGGTACTTGATATCGGGCTCCCACGGGGTCTTTCCAGACAGCTCACTAAACTTCTTCTCCACTTGACGAGCGTGGTCTTGGCCCTCGTACAGCGCGTCCACGGGACTGAAAAAAGAGAACAGACGCCGATGCACCTGCAGGACAGCGCTTTCGTGTCCCGCGAGCGCTCCGGGACGCCGCAGGACCGCGCGGTGCAGGCGTCGCGAACCTCTCATTTCGTGCGTCGTTGACCGAAGAGTGACAGGCACTAGTTCGCTGATCTGGTGTGGTGCACCTCAAACAATGTGGTGTGGTGGAGTGGAGCGCACACTATTCCAGGCGACGCGTTTGGACCAGTCAAAAGGACTTGCAAAGCCATCATCGTCTGCACATGTCGTTGGCGACGATCATTACGTAAAAGCTTCTGAGGACTCCACCGTTTTCTCCACGAATCATGTCGGCTGAGGAAGTTGTGGCTGAGGTCGAGGTCCCGAAGGAGCTCGGCGAGATGGACGCGCTCAAGGAGGTGCTCAAGAAGGCGCTCATCCATGACGGGCTGAAGCGTGGCCTGCACGAAGCGGCCAAGGCGCTGGACTCGCGTCGCGCGCGTCTGTGCTGCCTCGCGCAGGACTGCGACGAGCCCAGCTACAGCAAGTTGATCCGTGCGTTGTGCGAGGAGCACGGCGTGAACCTCGTGCTCGTCCCGTCGGGCAAGCAGCTTGGCGAATGGTGCGGTCTGTGCAAGATTGACGCGCTGGGCGAGGCCCGAAAGATTGTGTCGACGTCGTGCGCCGTCATTACGGACTTTGGTGAGGAGACGCACGCGCTGAACGTGCTGCTGGATTACCTCAAGCGCCAGGGCGAGAACTAGACGCGAAAGACTTGCGCTGTTGGGATGGTGCACTAGGAGACCAAGCGCAGATGTTACAGTAATTGACTGCGCCTGCGACAATAACACGAACTCCCAGCGCTGTTTATCGGGGACCGAAGCTTCAGTCGGAAGTTGTGTCGTTCTGCTTGTCTTGTGTAATGCTCGAGGACATATCTCTGCGTGTGGGATGGAGCATTAGGATGGGACCAGTTTGATTGCTACTGTTCTTTCATTGATCGGCACTTATTGCTGTACGGGTATTTGCTAATTTACAGATGTACCCAGTTGTCCAGCCAGCCATTTGTGCGTCGAGGGCACACGCCTCAGGCCCATCTACTTCGCGTTCTAGCCATCAGCTGGCGTCGTGTGCGTCGCACGCCAAGTGACGCTGCACTAGTCCTGTATCCTCCACGCGCAGTCAGTGCACATGTACCCGTGACTTGCTGAAGAAGCACCGCAATATCGCGCATGCGCCCGCAACCTCTGTCACAGGTCGGTTTGCCGCCGTTTCTTGACGACATGTAGAGCAAAGATCGATGGACGGCCTTTCGTGGATTCCGCAGTGTTCAGCGTGGCAAGCCGCACACGCTTCCACAGCCCGATCCAGCTGGCGACGCGTCAAACGCGCAGCCGATCGATCGAGGTGCGACCACTTTCTGGCCTTTCTTCTGCGCTTTTGCGTGCAGCACAACGACCAATCATGACTCATTCGCCGGCTTGCCAACGAAGCGGCGCTTCTTCGCACGGGTTAGCGGTTCGGCGTTGCGACCACGAATATCGTGCATCGCGGATGCCCGCCTGAATTTGAGCTCCCCCTGTGCCGCTGGCGCCTCCATCGGTTCATCTAATTTCATCGGGCGCATGTTCGTCAGTAGTGAGTGCTGCAGCGCCTCGGCCGGTGTCATTTGTCTACCGCAGCTGTGTCCACCCGCCTCCGTCGGTTCATCTAGCTGCATCGGACGCATGCCCATCAGAAACGGGTGCTGCAATGCCTCGGTCGGCGTGATTCGTGTATCTGGGCTGCATCCATGTACAGTGAAGCACAAATTAGCTTCCCTGCACAAGCTTTTGCGTAGTCACCCTCAAAAACGTACTTAAAGTCGAGCATGCGCAAAACGAGGTCATGGAACGCTGGATACTGCTCTGGACCGTGGTTCGGCGTCCCATACTTGTCAGCACTCGCAAGAATCTCAGCCAAGGTCTTGCACGTTTCAGGTATCTAGTTCAATCACAAAGGCAAGCGTCAGAAACAACGACCTCGAGGAACAACGATTTCGTTCAGGTGACGCAATAACTCCCACTCACCACGTCAATGCCCTTCGGCGGCACGACCTTGTGCACTCTCAGACGATAGTCAACGCACTTGACGTCGCCTTCGCAAATCACGATTTCGTCAAAGTAGACGCTCCGGTACCGGGGATTTGCCCGGTTTAGCAGCTCACGCGGCGGCATGCCGAGCACGTTGATAATTCGGTGGAGCTGGTCTACCGAGTCGTAGCCGCAGAACAAAGGTTTACCCGTATGCATCTCAACCAAGATGCAGCCAAGGCTCCACATGTCAATCGCGGCAGTGTATCGCATGCCCAGCAACACTTCCGGCGCGCGGTAAAAGCGACTTTGCGTATACCGGTGGATCTATGACAGCATCTTTTTTCGTCAGCCTTCCGTTCCACCACATACAGTGACAGTGCCGTCACAAACGCACCTGGTTCTGCGAAAGACACGAGCTGCCGAAGTCAATGAGCTTGAGAGAGCTATGACCGTGCGAAACCAGCAAAATGTTCTCTGGCTTGAGGTCGCAATGGATCACGCTCAAATTTGGGTGTCGCATGTACTCCAGCGCTTTCAAGATCTGCCGCGTAAACTTCCTCAGTAGCTTAAGACTAATACCATTGAAGTTGGTGCCGCGCAGAACGTCGAAGAGATTCGGTCCCAGCCGCTCGAACACCAGACACTGGTGCTCCTCGTGCATAAACGCGTCCACCAGCCTCACTACAACAGCGACAAAACGCACACACGCACACAATGGTCAGACATTGCAACTAACAAAGCCTCTTCTCCAGACGTGGACGCCCCAGCCAGCACATAGACGGCAAGACCGAGCGAGCACGAGGTCGACAACAAAAAGCCGCACCAATGTGGTTCGTTGCATCGAGTTGCTGCGGACGGTGCAGCCGCTGGAGGATGCTGATTTCAATCTGTGCCTGGTCCGTGTACTGCTGCTTCTTCTGCACAATCTTGATGGCCACGACCTTGTTCGTCACCAGGTCCTGAGCTTCCACAACTTGTCCAAAAGATCCCTACAACAGCACAGGGGCCACAAACGAACAAGCAGCCACAGATATCAGCGGCCGTCTTGCCGTCTCGTTGCACGTCACAACACGTCAGTACTCGTACCGCGCCAAGTTTCCGACCGCGCACGAGGTAGCGGCCGTTGTGAAACGTCTCGTCGCCCGTCTCGGAGAAAACGTAATTCGCTGGCACACTCGTCTTCAGTGTCTTCTTCGTCTTCTCCTTCTTCGTAAGCGATCCATCGGTTGGCTTGGGGTTGTGCTTGCGGTAGTAGTTCTACAAAAACGCACTTTGTTAGCGAAAAGAGAGCTACTGCATCCGCCTTGCGCCCGCGATGGCTCAGCCCGTTGTACACACCCACCGCATTGATCGCGTTCAGCGTAGTCAGGAAGTTCTGTGTGAACTGGTGCAGCGGTCGGTCCCTCGGCGGCCGTCGCGCTGCGTCCGCACCGGCTCTGATCGCCATCAGCTGACTGCTCTCGTCGGCGCTGTAGCGGTTTGGCGCGCAAGAATAGAAACGGCGCGCTCTTGGTTTTCTCGCGAGGTTATTTGTGTCCGCTGGATGAGGTTTTTCAGCACCCCGCTCACGTGTGCCTCTGGGTTTGTCTCGCACGGCATGTGCTTTTTCTATCAAGAGGCCGATAGACGAGCCCTGTTTTGCCGGGCGATTGGCAGGTCCTTGTTAGGGGTCGTCCTGGCTTCGATATCGATCCGCGCTCGAACGGACATTCGTCTGGAAGAGAGCCGCAGCTTCAAGCGCGACGTGTCTTTGCGCGAGCTCTTTTCGCGCCTCTTTTGCCAACGACCTTTGCGTTTTCCCGCGCCCGGGGGGCCAACACCGCCCGATCTTCGTCGCCCGTCCGCCTCTCTATGCCAAAGATCGCTGATGTGATGGCAAGTAAAGGAACAGAGAAGGGGAGCAGTGCAGCCACTTTTGGAGCTTACGGAGCTGCTGACTCGATGGGTTCATGTCAGCGCTCTAAGGTCCTCGAAGTGAGCGGACATTCGGTCTGTCTCATGTGGCACAAGTCACTGAGGCACAACAGCGCGTCGTCAAAGTGTCTCGCGGAGGCCTATCTACAATTGCGGTTGCTGACGAACTCCACGCGCCGTTCGCGTAGATCTTCTGCGTTAGTGTGTAAATCTCGAACGAACGGCTCTGCTCGTGGTCAAGTGTCGAGCCGTTTCAGGAGACGAGAGTCTGCTGAGCGATCCTCTCGGCGATTGTCGATTCGACTCGCGTGCAGAAGAGCAGTGGCACAGAGCCACCGGTTGACTCCATTTCCCGCGAATCTTCGAATCACACTCGTGACTGCATAAATGGGACGCGCTCAGGGTAGCGACGTGGTAAGTCACTGTAAGAGATACTGAGCACGCGATTGAGGCTACGGTAGGTGGCGCAAGGAGCTGCCTCAGATGGTTCTTGCCACGATTGGTACAGCAGTGCTGTGCATTTCGAGGCTTTTGTATCACACATACTCGGAAGAAGCGCGTTGCGGATGAAGGTGAACGGGATCGGCCGAGCTGACACGATATGTGGGTGTCCTGAACCATGACAACACTTTAGAACACTTGAGCTGACTTGCACTCACGTTCTGTCGAGGAATCACCACATCTCCGAGATCGGGTCTCGTGGTAAATCGTTCAACAAACATACGTGCACCACTTGCGAGAGCGCAACCAAACTCTATACAACCGCCTTCTCCCCAACAACGACCGTGGGTGGTACAGCGCTGCATTGTTCCACCCAGTCAGTCGTGAACGCAGCCGCCATCATCCTGACCCGATACAAAAGTGCGTCTGCCATCCTCTCGCCCACGTCTGTCCACTTCGTACATGATCGATAGAAAAACAATTCTCGCCCTCACCAGAAAGTAGCAGAAGAAGCAGACTGAATCTCCCCGTCGCTTCTTCCTTTCGTCGTAATATCAAACCGGTCCATCATCGATCGCCATATCGGATCCCGTTCCGTTCTTCCCAATCCATTCGCACTCCACTCACTCCTTGTCGAGTCATGAAGCCGTCGACGGCTGACTTAGTCGAGACAATGACCGACTTGGCCAGCGCAGCCTACGGAGCCCGCGTGCTGTTCGCCACGGACGAGTGGTTCGCGCCTGCGAGTCGCCTGCTGCTTCCAGAGCCGCCAGTGGACATCGCCGACAGGTTCACGAGTTTCGGCAAGTGGATGGACGGCTGGGAGTCGCGACGCAAGCGGACGAGCGGTCACGACTGGTGTGTGCTGGCGCTGGGCATGCGCGGCACAGTGGACGTCGTGGACGTGGACACGGCGTTCTTCACTGGTAATTACGCGCCGCGCGTTTCGATTCAGGCGGCGGACTTGGCACAGGGCGGCGGTGCCGGTGCCGACAGTGCGCTGCGAGTTCTTACGGCCAAAGCTCTGGAAGACCGCGCGATGGGTGTGAGTGCCACGTTGGAGGACCTCAAGCTGGTTGAACAGCTCCAGTCGACGAAATGGACTGAGATCGTGCCAATTACAAAGCTCGGAGCCGGATATCCTGAAACTCGCCACAATCTGCTGCGGGTGTCGCCGACCAAAAGAGGTCCCTGGACGCACATTCGACTCAACGTGTTTCCCGATGGAGGGATCGCACGGCTGCGTGTGTTGGGCGAGGTGGTGAGAAATTGGAAGCTGGTCTCGAGCTCTGAAAAGCTGGATCTGGTGAGTATTGAGAACGGGGGCCAGGTGATCGGGTTCAATGATGCCCATTATGGCCACCCCCGCAATCTGACTGCACCAGGACGAAGCAAGACGATGGCTGGAGGATGGGAAACTGCCCGCAAGGTGACACGACCTGCGATTTTGAAGGTGGATGCGAGCAGTGGGCTATTGGAAGTTCCTGGCAAAGACTGGGCCGTGCTCAAACTGGGGCATTTGGGCGTCATCCAGCAGGTCGAGGTGGACACGAACCATTTCAAGGGCAACTTTCCCGAGAGCTGCGTGGTGTATGGCACGCGATACTATGGTGACGATGCTGCGAATGAGTTGATGAAGGATGACGGAGTGATCAAGTGGGAAGTGGTGCTGCCTCGCGTAAAGCTGGAGGCACACAAGCGTCACTACTATTCCGTCGTCGAAGGAAACGTGCACGTAATCTCAGCTGGGGTCAATTATGTTAAGCTCGAGATGTTCCCCGATGGCGGAATCAGTCGTCTTCGCCTGATAGGGGTCAAGAAGGACGCTGATGCTCGCCTGTGAAGCACGCTTTTATCCGTGTTGGGTCAGGATACACACAAGAAGCCGACTTTTTGCACTTCACACAAAGTATGTTGCACCGTCGACTGTCACTGCTTGTTGGAATAGCAGGAGTCGAGATGAATGCCAAGTTTATCACGCGATGCAACTCCGTCTTCTTTTAACAAGTAGAACTTTATCGCCAGTATCGGGTGAAAGTGCTCACATGGTTTACAATGCTACTGCGCCACAAGCAGTTTTTTTACGACATGACATGCAGAAGACTAGTGTTACGTCACAGCAAACATTGTGGATACTCGTTCTGAGATGGCGGCAACAAGCAAGTAGCTTGTGGGGCTGCTTTACAGTGTGTGTAGACAGCTGAAACGAAAGTAATTGGGCCGTGCTAGGGCTCTACGTTGCACTCAAGCAGTACAGATGTCATTTTCTTACTCATGCGAAGCAATGGTGCTGTTTTTTCTTTAAACTTATGTTCGTATTGCTAAAAAAAATAGAGCTTTACCTACGCAAGTACCTCACAAAGTGTCGCTGCAGTAAGTAGCTCCACATGTGAGATGCCTTCCTTATGTGGCCAAATTAACAGACTGGTGACCGGCTTGTCCCTCCTTTTTATGCACGAACAATTCGTTTACCGTGCCTTAATTGCCTTAACGTGGCAAATGTCATGCAGTCAGTCCAAGCTAATCGACTCAAATTGAGGTAATCATACTGCCTGGTCGTTCTTTTGCCTTTCGAGACCTTTTTTTAGATTCATATAGATGTACATACGTTTCACCAGATGGTTCTTGACCACAACTAGTCCCTCACACCTATCATAAAGAATGTATGAAATACCACAGGCCTGTCTGAATCGTTCCCGATCCTCACTTTTGTGGCTTGACATCATGTCGGACGTCGAAGCTCTAAGTGATAGCGATGTGCGCGAGCGTCTGCTGCCCGCCGGGCCGAACCACCAGTCGCACGATGAGAGTGAGCAGCAAGACGGCATCACGCATCAGAAGCTGATGCACTCGATTGGCTCGTTCTCCGCCGTCGTGTGGCCTGTGGCAGTCACGATGTTGTTTGCCAGGTGCGTCTCGAAGACATGCAAGAGACACATGTTCAGGATCGTACTTAGGTGGACACTCGTCTGTTTGCAGCTTCGTGTCACTTCAGGTGGCGGATCCAGCGCTGGCTCAAGCGCTCGCAGAGTACGTTGCGACTGTCAACAATGCAACACGGATGCAGAATGTATACATTTTCTACTTGCCGAACTCGTAGCTGACCCGCCTATTGACGTGCTGCTGCAGCGCGTATTTGGTCTATGGACCGGAACGAGACGAAGGAGCGTCTACAGGTACCAAAGCAGCTGATGCGCTAGTGAACGCGCTGGTGATTGTGTCGTTCTTCCTTGTGGCGACGCTCGTGATTGTCTGTTGCTATAAGCTGAACTTTAACAAGGTGAGACTTCACAGCCCGTGCTATCCAGTAGGTGTCTGTGGTGGCTGTAGGCACATTTCTCATTGGTTGCGATGTCTGATGAATCATAGATGCTGATTGGATACATGATGTTCTCGTCGGCAATGCTGTTGGGCATGCTGGGAGGCAACATGATGGTCATCGTTATTGCCAAGTTAGAGATCATAGTGGACAGATGCACGCTGTTTTTTGCCATGTATAATTTCTCCGTGGTCGGCGTGTTGACCATATTTTACCAGAAAGGCACGCCCGTGTGGCTCACGCAGATGTACTTGATTGCCACGTCGGTCATCATGGCCTGGCAGCTGGGGCAATTTCCCGAATGGAGCACGTGGGCGCTGGTGATCGTGCTTGCATTTTATGACCTCTGTGCGGTGTTGACACCATGTGGACCGCTGAAGTGGCTTGTCAATCTTGTACAACAGGAAGGGCGACCGTTGCCTGGTACGTTTGGAATCCATTGCACCATGTTGTATGTGGCCTTCTTACTGAGTATCGGATGCTTGGCGGTACACTTCAGGTCTGCTGTACGAAGCAGAGATCCACCGTCATCACTCAAGCAATCCACCTCCGTACGCGCATGAAAATGTGTACTACCAGTGTGAGTCCGAAATACCTCTTCGTCAAGGGTCTCCGCGGGACGTGGCAAAAGCTCCGCCTTCGTCATGTCAGATCTCCCTGCCGTGTCGTCAGGCCCAGCTTCGCGTTCGTTTGATCGATTTCTACACGAAATACAACCCGTCCGCTATTCCCCGCGTGGACAAGATCTTGGAACGGTATCAGGGACGAGAAGCCGACCTGTGGCATGATCTATGCCAGAAGTATATAATCGATGAAGGAGGTACGTATGGGATCTTCCGAGCTGTTTTCCGAATCGAGTTGCTCGACTGACTTGCATCATGTGTGGGTTGCAGAGGCGAATGAGACGATCAAGCTCGGGTTAGGAGATTTTGTCTTTTACAGCGTGTTAGTATCTCGAGCCGCCAAGTACGACTTTTCGGCGATGATCGGGTGCTTGGTATCCGTCCTCATGGTACGTTGACACTGCGCTTTTGTCTAGTGGGGTCGACAGCATGTCTTACGTGCCCCGCTTCGTTGTCCAGGGTCTGGGTGGAACATTGTTTCTGCTCGGTATGTACCAAAAGGCACTCCCAGCGCTGCCAATCTCCATTCTGCTGTCTGTCATGACGTACTTTTGGCTGCGTCTGGTATTTGTGGACTTCGTGAGCAATTCGCTGAGTATCGGTGTGCTGTTATAACAAACGAGAGGATGCAAGCTGAAAGGCGTCTATTCTGAAACCCGTAAAAGGATCATAGAAAATTGCAATCTCGGATGCAATCTTCAAGAAAGGAAGTCAGGAACGTGAACCCGAAAATGTATAGGGCTTCGAGCTCGATTTTCCACGGTAGCGTATCTCCAAGCCACATTTGGACTTCTCTCTTGTAAGCACCGGTAGCCTGTGTAAGTGCACGGGAGACGTGTCAGCTCAGTCTACGCGACCAACTTACGATGTGTTCCCCGTCTTCACCTGAACAAAGCTTGTACTTAGTAAGGATTCTGCCACGGCGGTATCCTTTCGCGTCAACGCTTTGAGGGACGACGACGGCAAACCCAAGCTTGCAGCTTGTGACGGACGGAGGCCGACCCACTTAATGTCTACAGCTGCATCACCAGAATGCTCAAATGACTTGACCCGCGTATTGTACCGAGACCGTAGTCCCAATCGTACCATATTGTAGTGATTCTAAGGGCATCCGAGCTGATCCTAGTTTGTATGTAAGCTACAACAGCATCTTGTTAGAGCGACACATAATCACTATCTCGTATTGCTGTACCATGATCGAGAGGCCGAATGGATTGCAGTCGCAAAGACCGAGAACTGGAATTCCAAAAGCCTTGCTCAACATGCTCACGAACATTCTACGCACAAGAGCATCGCATGAGCAACAGAAAACAGCACCACCTGGATGGAGCGGGCGACCTTGTTGCAAGATCTGGAAACCCACGGCCAGTGATCAAGATGCTTGGAACCGCCACAAAAAACTTGTCCTCTCTAGTATCGACAAGCCCACTCAGTGTGCAAAAGCAAAATTGGCTAAGAAACGCACGGTGTACCTCAAGCGGTTAAAGATCCCTTCAGCACCTCGCAAATTGCAACGTTCAGATACACTTGTCTCCGCAAAACTACACAAGTCTTCGTACCGTCTTTCTCGATAACGATAATGCACTTTGCGTTACTGTGCCTGAGTAGTTACGGCACAGTGACATGAGCACTACATGATAGACTCAAGCCGTGGCTCACGAACACACGTTGCGTACATTTCGCTAGGCTTGAGCTGCAACAGCTCTTGCGTAATGGACACCTCTTCTCCACTGCCAAAGTACCTCCACTGGTTATCTCTCTGCAAAAAAGAGGTGTCAGTCAGAAGTCATGCCCTAACGGCTACCCGGTAGAGACATCGCAACGCACGATAAGACTGATGTCGCCGGTGAAACAACCTCTCGATGCGCCAACAATATTCATGCATCCTCTCGGCACGCCCAAAATGCTTCCGGCATCTGAAACACAAACGTGCACAATGCTCAGAGAAAGATAGAAAGCATCAACAGCATGCGTCAAGCAGTAGCTACCCAGAATCGCCTCGTCGGCTTCGCTCTGGCCTTTGAAGAAGGGGTGCAAATAGTACACATCTCGCTTCGACACAAAGCGGCGTGACCCGACCCACGTCAGATGCTGTCTCCAATGCGCACTCTCTGTGTGCATAGCGTAAAGCGTCGACCACATGTACCTGTGTTGCTGTCTTGTGCTCCATCAGCAGCGCATGTACCGTCTGCAAGATGAGCCAGATGCCCGTGTATCGTCTGCCTCCTTGTCGGTTCTACGCACGCGACACGACCAAGTAAGTGATCAAAGCCGCCGACAAGAGCAGACAATGAATGTGTACCCATTCATTACCAGCTTGATCAGACGCGTCTCGTTGCCGTGGACCTGCTGCTTTGTCTCGTGGTCGTACAGCATAGCCGAAGAAGTGCGCTTCAGCTGCCACAACACGAGAGATGAACACGAGCCCCACTTGCAGGACACCAGGACGTCCCCAACAAAGTGCTCACAGCTTCGAGATCCAGCACGTTTCCGTCCTATAAGCCACACAATGGGTCAGTCACTCGCTCGTCGAAAGTCTCAGTGGTCAAAAATCGCCTAAACCGACCGATAAGCACTTGAAGAACTCGGCTGCCAAGTCTTCGATGCGCTGCAAGACCTGCTACGAGCAAAGACAGCCGCACACGTCACTACACATCAGCACAGAGCGTTCATTCCGTCGGCTTTGGTCTCGTTCTCGCCTCTTCTCGCGACCATCCCACCGCTTGTGCCTCTGTCTGTTCGCGTTCTTTCACCATGGCAGCAGATTGTCGAATGACAATCACTCTGAGAAACTTCAACTTCAACCTCTGTATAAGAATTCCATCTGGCAGCAGATTGTCGAATGACAATCACTCTGAGAAACTTCAACTTCAACCTCTGTATAGGAATTCCATCTGGCAGCTATATTGCGAATTTCGCGCGCGGTGAGTATCCAGAAAGAGCATGCTGGGGGAAAGTCGAAAAAGAAAGCGCTGGACATCGACGTTTGTGTTACGTTCAGCTGAGAAACGACGGGCGGCAGTCAAGACTTGGCATTCGAAATGTTACAAACGAGTTCCTTACATTCAAGTGCAGGAAGCACTTGCAAGTTTGTGACCTCAATGGTATCGCCTCCGCTGTCTACAGATGTCGCACTTGTTTCGAGGAGCATTGCTGAGAGTCAGGTTTTGACCGCTCTTGTCAGTCCTAAAATACGTTGTCGAGACACGTTGGAGACAAGAAAGCGTCCGTGTCGGCTGCTTTCCACCCACATTGCAGTCAGGTCCATTCGAAAGTTGCAACTGTCGCGTCATCTTTGATGGTCCAGGTCTGATATCCTCGATCAGCGAGGTAGAGCAAGACGTAGAGGACGGTGTGTGTTGACGTAGACAAAGTGCAGACTGTCGAGGTGGCAAATGCTGATCTTTTTTGCCTGACGGTAAAAATCACGTGTAAGGCTGAACGGAATGAGTTCGTGTTTGTAGAGCAGACAGGTGCAACGGACTCGTATGATTAGCGACAACGGTGAAAGACTCGTAAAACTTTTCGCATTATCGCAAAAGCTTAGCGTGGAATTTAGTTCGGAGCTCTTATACGTGCTGTTCATGTGCACAGCGGATGCTATAGAACACAGCCAGCTTGCAGCATCCATTTCCTGCCGTCTGACTCGACGATTGCAGCAACGTTTGTATACAGAGTGACTTATCCCTGTCGAGAGCCGCGACGCTCGCCGCTACCTTACAAGCTCAAACGCGAGACTTAGTGTTGGTCTTCCGAGAGGGTCAAAGGCTTTGCTACCCTTGTCACACGAACTGTCCGTCGATCTCTCAATATTTAGCCCATTACAGCCTTGTAAAGGGTGCGACTCATAGTCAAGAGCAGCATTTGCTCATTCCAAACTTTACTGAGAGCACCGATCCCTGCTTTGAACTATGCACATGTTCGTTGATGTATTCGGCTGGCGTTTTACGACCCTTAACAAGGTTTCCAGAAGGTCCGGAGTCTTGTCAATGACCGTCGCCTATTCACCGCGTGGAAATTTGGTCATTTTCGGTCGACCTCAAACCACTCGTTGCGAATAGAGTATGCCGCACGACAAGATTGTGGAAAATCTAACTTCCTGCTTTGCGACATCAAACATCACTCTATTACTCGAATTAATGGTACCTGAGCAAGATAAACGCCTAAGTGAAGACCAGACGATCGGCCGAGACCAAATTTACTAAATTGACAATAATGTGCAGGTTGACCAAGTAGGTAACTGTCTTACTATCGCCATGATTTAGTTTGCTGTAGCGTAACTTGTCATCATACCTTCTTTCTAGTAGAATCCTGACTCAACGATTGACGAGCCGCACGTATTTGACATTACGCCGTTGTATAACCGACTTGATTCTCGTTCTTGCGAGTGATGGCAATGCATCTATTGCGATAATCAAGCAATGGATGTTCGGTCAACTTGGTAACTCTCTGCAACTTACACAATGGAATGAAGTGTTTATGCATTGTCTCTGTCGTTCAAAATCTCTTTCGTGTCAGAGCGCACACGGCGCTCCTTCAGATATTTCTTTTGGTCTATATGTACCCACGGGTGTAGCAAACACCAGGCTGTTTTCATATGACTTCTGGTCTAGCTTTACACACTCTGGAATACTCGAAACCAATGCGAGTCTCTAACGCGTACTTTTCTGTTACGTCAACTTAATTGACAAGGTGTCATTGTTTTGTGACACTCGACACTGACCCCAGTGGCCGAGTGGATGAGCGCTTAGAGTGGAACCAGGAGGTACGTGGGTCGAGTGAGAGGCGGATATATCGGCTTATAACGCCAGACAGTAGCTCCCACAGCTGGATATCCATCCTTGGTGGTCACTGGTCGCTCGACGTACCGGGATCAGCCTCAAACATTTCTCTCTCTCTTTGACACTCAATATAGAACCTCTTGATGTTCCTCAACAATTTGATCAGTTACAAAAATTTAAGCTAGGACCATAAGCAATTAGCCACAAAGTCAAAGGGCACTTGTAAAGCTGTGTGAATTGTAGAATACATTTATACTAGCCGAAGATTACAGCCGACAACACCACACTTCCGCCTCTTATTCTTGCCGTCGTCATTACCAGAATTTTACCCGTTCAAGCCGATAAGTGTAGCACCGGATCTACAAAATGGCGCTTGGATACAGCTTATATATATCCGCCATTACAGCACGGACCAGTTCAAAAATTTTGGATCTCCTATACATTAAAGCTCTCAGCGTCCATTCCAGAGTTTGATCAACCATTGCCTTCTCGTATGCGCGTCAAGATTAATTGGCAGAACCGGCGCCTTCTCGAACCATCAGAGGCAGCTAAAAGCAGGGCTGTTATAGCGGACAATGATATTGTCATTGCAACTTCACAATTTTGGCACGCACTGCGTACAGCTACCATGTCTAGACAGTGCAAATAGTTTCTGTTTCTAGTTCTACCCGTAAGTTTGACGTCCAAACAAAATCTGGCTGTCGAACACGTGCTACATGATTTGGCACAAAAACGGCCAGACCAAGTTGATTGTTTCTCGTCAATTTTCTTCGACGAGGAATATGCAGTTTCATTACCTGTATCGAAAAGCTTCGATATTATATGTGGCAACAACAGACAATCTCGGCGATGCTTTTATCGATCCTCAAGTAGAAGTTTTCCCGACTCATAGAGCTACACGCCGATCTTAAGAGCTTTGTAATATAGGGTGAAGTTTAAAAGTTGAGCACAACTGGTTGTGCTTGGCCTCAAGATAGAAGCTTGCGTGCTTTCGGCCAAGCGCGCGCGGCATTTTACCTTTTCTGATATTATTATTGTTGCTGATCCAGCGCACAAGTACAAGCAGTACTTTTACAGCCTCTAATTTTTCTTCGATATTAGTAATGCAATCTCAATGCATACCTGCCTCTCAGCCATCGACCTCTAGCTCGCGCCTTATTGGGTCGTGTTGGGTGGCTCAGCGACGTGTACAGGATTCGTGAAATAGCCAGTCTCGAATTTGCAATCCGCGCGGCACTTTTATCGCAAGAATGCACCCGGTGAACGCTCTCGTCCTTTCTGCTGTTGCCATTCTTCATGGTATGTACGTCGAGGCTCATGAGGCGATAGATAGCCTTGAGAGGAAAAGAAGTCTCGTTGCAAGGTTCAGCCGTGAGCGCCCATGATCTGGATGCTTTCTTCAAGGACGCGACTGATGTCCGCTCTTGGAACAATGAAATCCCTTCGGAGGAGAGAATTGGTGAAAGTTCGTTTTACGTCGACGTTTCTTGGCTCTTTTTAAGAAAGCAGCGAAACAAACGAGCGACGCCGACATGGTGAAATCGTTGTTGAAGAAGATGAAGTGTCAGCACTTCGAACTGGCTAAGCTTCCTGGACAAAAATTCACGGTTGAACACTTGCGTAAGGCGCTGGGACTTCCAGAAAACACTGAAAGTTACAAGTTTAAAGCGCTTGGTGGTAACGCGCGAGCTACCGTAGAAAAATTGGTTGCAGACAAGGCATTATACAACGAATGGCACACGCTACACGTGTACGAGTCAGTGTACGACAAGCACTGGACTCAAAGTCCACGCGAATGATCGGCTTCATTCGTCATTGTACGTAGGCTTCGCTGGCGGAAATGGTGGGCTGAGATTGACGTCAGTAATTGCAAAGGAGAAAACAGTATCAACAAACCGTTTTCCTGTCTCCCCCTTTCGATGCGTCGCTAATCGTGCGTGACCTGAATTTTGCATCTCGAGCTCACCATATCTTCTTTTGACTAGACGGCCAGCTTGACGCACCATGAGTTTTCAGTTTGCAGAGCACGCAACGATACTGATCGTTTAAATCTTATACAAACGCGGCAATCTTACATGATGCTGCGATCGCTCGTGAAACATTTGCATCTTCCAGCTTACTTTCCCACCCTCTCACTTGGTATAGCGATCAAGTTAAAAGTAGATGACAATGATGATAATAAGGCAACTAATTCGAGTGAGAACAAAGCTCCTCATGAAACAAGCCATCCCCATTTCCGTGCACTTGGAGACTAGAGCCAAGTAGTAAACCCTTTTGCATGACACCATAATGGAGTTCATTGTTCGCTCACTCGACATTGAATAAGAAGGTGTGTGTGTGTGCCGAGGATGAAGTCGGCGATGGTGTAGAGACGAAATAACCGACCTCGGACTAGAAGCTAAGTTTGCCTCTTCGAGAGCAAGCAGCGCATGACATGGCAGCTAAATTCATGACAACATGGCTGGATTGCGCACGGACAGTAAAGGTTTCGACGGTGGGGCGAGAATGCTTTGCACTGAGCGCCAAGCTTTTTGCGCAAAACCCAGCAGCTTTGAGTGCACCAACACCTGTTGGTGACGGCAGTGTGCTGACAATTGTTGCGATTCCGTGCGAACTGAAGGACGCAAGACAGACACGGCAAGTTCATTCAATGGTTTCTTCCCATCAAAGTCTGCTGTAGTATCGCTCGCAAATGCTGTGCCGACCGTCTCAGGAACTTAAGTGAGCGTGAGGATGCAAACACAGGCAGGAAATGACAATCAAACACTGCACGTGGCGAATCAACTGATTGCAACCGGACCAACGATCAATTTTGTCCATGTGCACACAGTGCTATTGGTGTAATATCCGGAAAGACCATCGCTTCCAGAATAGAGCTGACAAAGTGCGCTCGCTCTCCATGGTGCGATCATTACCTACACCACATTACGCCTCCGACGTCTACGCCATTTATACCGTATGTGACGGAACTCGTGTGAACGCAGTGGCAGGCGGGAAGATGCAGTAACAAGTTTCATTGTCACTGACGGTTGTGTCCGAAAGAGTTCACATAGACATCGGAAACAGCGCATTTACCACTTTTCGTGGTCAAACTGTTGCCGCGAGGTTTTGAAGTGCAACTAGAGGATGACGTTGGTGGTTACGCGCACCTACGACGTTCAGCAAGATGCCACACAACAACGAGTGCGGCTTGAGGGGAGCAGATCGAAAGCGGTGACTCATCATTTTGTTACGTCTCCGTCTTGTCATTACTTCAAAGTAGGCAGCGAAGGTATCGCTTGTCTACCACCTGCCCAAAATGACTCGCAGCACACCTCACGTACCACCGGTACATGTCAAAAGGCGCGCTACCTACATGTCACCCGAAGCCGCTGTATCAGCGCTTGCCTGCTGCAGCAGTGCTGTCGTCTCGCTTTCCGTTAGTTGGCGATGCACGATCTTACCATCGGCAGTCCGCGTGACCGTCGTGAACTCCAGCTTTTCGGCCGTGGGAGTGGCCGAGTCCATGGTCTTGTTCATGACCTTCACCGAAAAAACCAGCGCCTCTTCCACCGTGATGTCTTTCTCGTAGTCGCTCTTCAGCATGCTCTTGGCCGCGCGGTTGTTCGCACCAATGGCCGTGGCCTTCCAGCCGCCATAATTACCACTCGGATCGCTGTGGTACAGCTGGAAGCCGTGGTGGCGATCCCAGCCAGCATAGAGAAACGACACGCCAAAGGGACGCTGGCCACCAAATTGTGTGTACGCCTGCTTGTAGTTGCAAATGGTCTGTACCAGCTGTTCACACGGTTCTTTCTCCTGGTACGCGAGCTCGTAGCGCTGCGCCGACAGCCGCGCGTAGTTCACGAGGATGTTAGCGTCGGCAGTCAGGCCAGCAACAGCACAGATCAGGTGGTCGTCCAGCTTGATGGTCTTGTCGCTGGTTTTGCTCGGCGTCAGTAGCTTCGACACGGTCTTCTTCTCCGCTATTGTGGCCGACCGGTCCATTGACATCGCACGAGAGAGCGTTACTCGACGAGCAGGACGGGTGGACTCAAAGCACTTGCATAACGTATAGACACACCACTGACCTGCAATGACAATGCCGTCCTTTGCGAGGATGCCCACAGCCGATCCGGCGTTGTTGATCGCCTCGACGGCATACTCCACCTGAAAGAGGCGGCCTGCTCGTCATTTGACCGCGTGGAAGTGCCGTCCATTGTATACATACGCCATGTTAGTCACCCGCGATCGACATGGCTACAGAACGAGGCGCGAACCACACCGCAGCAAGAGCGAGCGTACCCTCTGGCGAGAATGTGGTCGTGCGGCCGTCGTATCGTCTCGACATGGAGCTCTTAGGCGCTACTGCTACTGGCGTGTGATCTTTGCCGAATCTGGAAAAGAGGGGGAAGAGAGAGGTGCGGTGTCGATTGCAATTGGTCGAATCTCATGGAGCTTTCGTTTCTTTTGACCAATCAAATGCGTTTGTAGCTGCTCGGTTCACGCCGTCGTGGCCGCTTGTCGACGGAGGTCCGTCGAGGAAATGTCATTCCGGAATGCACTCTCCGGTAATGGAAGAAAGAGGTGGCGAAATACCGACGGAATGTGCTGTTCGACCACCTCTTCAGCAGAGAGGTACCTCTTTGCCGCTTTCGTGTCGACCCTTCCAGCAACAACAAACGAGCAATTGCTGCGAGCAATGTGGTCCAACGCCAGCACCATCTTGTGCTCGTCCATGCCGTAGTACTTCTTGTCCACGAGGCGTACGGCCGTGTCGGCGCCTATGGTGAATATGCACCCAGGCAAAAGCTGGGCTTTCTGGCCGAAGAGCGTGGCATTCGTAACAAGGACTGGCCACGTACCCAATCCAGTAGTGCTGCCGCCATCGTGCGTGAATTGGGCAATGCGTGTCGAGATTGTCGACGAGTCGATTGCACCTTTGTCTGCGTTCGATACTGCAAGCTCAAACGCCACGGGCAGCTTCACGCCCGTACGCGACTCGATGAGCTGCTGAGCACCCCGTGCGAGATCGATATGGCCCTTGTGAAGTGGATTGAACGATCCTGGTAGCACTAATCCGCGAAACTCAAATCCCTGCGTCGCCATTGTCGTAGCGCGCACGCCGTCTGTAGATTTCTCCGGCAAGAAGGCAACACTCGTCAACTCGTTGGACGTGCCACGACAGATGTCATCCAGTGGACCACTGCGTCCATCGCCAGTCGTCACCTTCACGATACGTTCATTTCCAGTCTGAGCAGACGTCAACTCATCATGAAACGCACGGCAAGTCTCTGCGTCCACACCTGCAGCTTTGGCCAGGACGTACACCAGCCACTGACTCACAATGTAGTCCTCCTCCATTCTCGAGCGCCCCACCGTCTTGTCCAATTCGAGGTGGTACGTCTCACACTGCGGCCGCCAGAACGCGCTGTGCTTGGAATCAGACCGAGCCTGACACACTGACACGAAGCACTCGTGCGGGCCTTTCTTGACACGGTTTGTAGCCAGTCCCGCAGTGCATGCGATGCCCAAAGAGCTGCGAAATCGGTGCACAGCGCTGCTCACCAGTGCAGCAGCTTGGACATCACTCGCCTCTGCTTCTTGCCGTATGACGGCGTTTGCCGTTTGCCACGCAGCACGTGCCATGCGTTCCGCCGTCTCTGCGGAACAAAACTTTAGTGCGGGAGCCGTCGACGGTACGGCGCTCAGAAACGACTGCAAACTCGCACGCGAATACGGAACGACAAAGTGCTGCATGGTGGACGAAGACCCTGGATGGAAGAGGAGCTCGGAAGCAGAGACACCGCCGCCAGTCACTGCCACTGCCACTTTGACGGGCGGCTCACGGGCGTACACGCTGGACAAGAGACGCTCCATCATGTTAGCCACTGTTGTCGATGTCAAAGGCATTGAGGAACCACTTTTTTGACGAAACAGTGCAATGATTGAGGTATCCTCTAGTGCTGATATTGTGTCTGGAGCACGTGGTGTACCGACAAAATATCAAAACTACAGTAGTGCATCTCAAATGTTGCGTAGTTTCGTCGATTCGCGAGCGGATCAGCTAAACCTGACAGACGACGAACGAGTCCACCAAGCGACGTACTCCGTTGCAGGACAGAGTCACAATTTGAATGCAAATGTCACGTAGCAGATCCTATTCAGAGATTTTAAGCCGCGTAGTCCTACAGATCACCGTGGAATGGTCTGCGAGTACAGTGACACTTTTCAACTCCTAAAAGGGCCCACACCCCTCATCCTACTATGGGGATTTTCGGCTAGTAGGGCGTCCAGCCCACCCAACAACTATAACACACACCTAAGATGCGGGCTGGTAGGGCGGCCATCCCCTACATGAGACAGAGCTTCCGAGTTCTGCCTACTTCGCTGCGCTTCCTCGCCACGTGTATGTGACGTCTAGTGCACACAACCTTGTGTTAAATTGACACAAGGCGTTCCCCGTTGCACCTACAAGCACTTTGTAGTCCATATAACGACCACAGCCATCTCATTCAACATGAACATGTTGGATGAGGAGGAAAGCTTCCACGCCACGCGTTAAGGCTTTAGTCATCTAAGTGACATCGAATGCAGTGCGGTAGAACGAATGAGCTCTACCGTCGGCGAAACCGCCATTAGCGCCATATCGGCGTCTCTTGACAGAGACCAACAACATGCTGATATAGCCAGGTTCATTCAAAATGAACTTGCCGCCGAAATAGAGAAAGTAGCTTTGCTTCACCAGCAAGGTTATCAACAGGCCGAGCAGTTGAGAGAACTCGGTGCTCAACAGAAAGAGATGTTGAGACAGCAGTAATTCAATGCTGCTGTGGGCGGGACGACACACACGCGTCGTGCCGAAATCGTGAAGGTTGATATCTACAAGTACAAACGATTCGAGGAAGACTCGCTGTTGGTATCGTTCATCGAACTAGACAGAGTCATGAAGGCTCGTCGTATAGACGATAATCAAATGAAACTCACATTTGCTCAAGCCCACGTGGCAGGACGTGCCAAGCCTTGGGCCTTAAGGTCGGAAGTGAGCGACCAATATGCTTTTTAGTCGCTGAAAGTCTTTGAGACCCGGCTCATACAAACGTTTGAACTGCCGAGCGATGAGTTTAGGGCTTGATCAGAGCTTGATCAGAGCTCCTGAAACCCAAGCAAGGTAAGCGTGATGTACACGCTTATGCTCAGCATATACGGCTCCTTGCGAGTAGTATAACTGCCAACACAGTACATGAACACACGTTGATTAATGTGTTCATGCAAGGGCTCGCAGACTGGCCCGTCAGACATCACCTGTTCGCTTGTATCTAGATACCCTTGGAAGAGCAATCTCAGCAGTGGAACACGAGGACTTTAGCATGAGACAGGCTCATGATAGCTCGATCTCTTATCGCCCAACAAGACGACAAAATATTGGAGGATTAGAGCCAATATCCCTCTGCGATGTTGAGTGCAAGAGACCTCGCTCTTCAGACAACAAGCTATTGCAAAAGTGAAATCGTTGTCAGAAGCTAGGACACTACGTCTACGAGTGTAGTGCTACACGCCCAGTACCAAACAGTACTGAGCGAAATGAACGACCATTTGCCAAAAAGATCAATGAACGAAGATCCAACGCTATTGCGAAACCGCAACAGCGAAGCGGAGCATAAAAAATGAACTGTGTCAGTAGGGCGCTCCTCCTCTACTGATCCAGCAACCTCAGGAGAATTTGTAAATCTCTTGACGAAAGTTGCTCCAGATACACAATCGTTGTGTGTCTCTGCACCTGGCGATGCGATATCACTCATCACCTTGAACTTGAAAGTACTAAAAGAAATGTCAATTCGCGCTCGAGTTGACGACTGAGGGGCGTCAGACAATTTTATTCGTCGCCAGTCACTAGAGGGCCGTAGGCTCAAGTTCGTTTAGCGCGACATCCCCCGAGCGAGGATGACGGTGCGCCTCGCCACAGGCGCATCAATAACCGTTGCAAAACGTGTAGTAGCAATCCACTACACGTTAAAGGACAAACAGTCCGATAATGACTTCGTCGAACTGGATCTGGATGACAAATTCAATTTCATCTAAGGATTACCCTGGCTCAGGAGGTATGAGCCAACAGTGAACTGGCAGCATCGATCCGTGAAGATGCCTGCCGCTTGTTCATCAGATGGCCATCTGATGAACGTCATGGGGCGTCCACAAGCATATGGATTTACCGCTAGTAAGTGCGATGGCCTCATTTGCGGTACGGTCGTTAGCACGACTGCACAAGACCTCAGTGTAGCTGATCACTACACTGTGTAGCAAGCTCCCGGCGTCTGTACAGAAGTACAGGCTGCGCCGAATGTCCACCACTCGAATAAGTCGAGTGGACCGGGACATGGATGCATGCCTAGCGGGCAGCATCTTAGAAGTAAGAAACCTGTTGCCACCAAAGGGCAACACGGTCATCCTATGTCGACTGGAGAGTCGACCGTAGAGGATCAGTTCCTAACTGTGGTTGCACAGCCACAGTTAGAAGACGTAGAGGGAATTAGTCCCCGCGTGATTGAGGAAGGACTTCCTCAAGAGTCTCATGCTGAGGCATCAGACCATCGGCAACCTGAGCGGACAATCCCTTCGCATCCTGCGAAAACAAGTTTCCAGGAAGAAGACGAGACATTGAACGTCTTGGTCCATAAGGGATCAAGCGTAGGCGCTTATACGCTTGATTTGAATGTGCATTTATAGTTAAATTCGGAGGTAACTCAGTTGCCAACGCTTGAACCCAAACGTTTCTTGCGTGATTTGCTTAGTGGCAAAGTCAGGTAAATCTTGATACTCGTCACTAATGATGAGCATATGACCGACATTCAGTCGGCAACAGTTTTTCAGATAACGAACGGGTTATCAGCAGCTCATCTATGGACGAAAGTGTCCTCGATGAGAAGACTCGGATTGAGCGATACACGTCTCAATCCTGGGAGTCGCTTAAAACAAATCCTTTGTATAAGGATTTGATCGAATTCAACGATGTATCTTCTGAATCCGTGCCTTGCGAGTTGCCTGAGGACAAATGCACTCGTCACGAGATCGGGATCAAACCGGCCGCAAAGTATTGAGTCATGAAGCAGTGACTACTGCCTCGTAAACAAATACTAGCGGTCGGTAAGTGTTTTGCTGATCGCTTAGCAGCAGGCCATGTGAGGGAATCGACTTCCCCTCACAGCTCTCCGACCTTCTGTGTTCGTAAGGCCACAAGGGGATGGCGGATAGTGCACGTATTAGATAAGTTAAATGATGAAACGGTACCCGGGTCAGACGCCGATACCAAGGAAGGACGTGATCATATATGAAATGTAAAAGAGTACTATCTTCTCGTCCATGGATCTGATGATAGCTTCTATCATATCCTCATGCATGAACGGGACAGCCGTAAACAGTCCACACCTCTCGCATTTAATGGCGAGGTGGCTGTCTTTCTTCGCCGAGTACAAATCCTCCGTCGAGTATAACTTAGGACGACTGGACGTCGTCGCTGATGCGCTTTTGCGCTGACCCGAATTCGATTCGGGCCCGCAATTTAACGGTGAGGATAAGACCACTGTTGTGACACTTACAATCTGTGTGCCGTCGTCAATGTTCCTTGACGACATATAGAAGGCTTACGCAAAAGACGATATCTTCTGTGCTTGATGTATCATCTGGCAAAGCCAACTCGTAAATCTTCGAAAGAGTTATTGGCTTTGTACCGTTGCTTTTCGGACCGGTACACAACACACATCGGGTTGATGTATAACACAGCTGTTGCTGGCAACACGCCTCGTGTCGTCGTACCGCATCATACTAAATTGCGCTTGCGCATCATGTATGAGTGCCACGATGCCCCAACAGGTGGACATCGTGGAAGGTAAAAGACTTAACTTACAGCAAGTCGTGATTTCTACTGGCCCCACCAGTATCAGTTTGTGTGCAAGTACATTCGTGCTTGCGAGGTCTGTCAACAAGTTAAGACTATTCCTTTATCCCGTATACCCTTACAGTCTCTACGTGTACCGGCATAGGTCTAGCAATCTGTTTCCATTGACTTCGTCTTCAGTTTACTCTAAGTCGACCACATGAATAATGGGATTTTTGTTTTCGTTGACCTGTTCATCAAGATAATGCATCTTGATGCAGTTCCAGAGTCAATCACGACGCAGGTGTGTGATAGTGTCTGTATCGACACTGTATTTCGACTCTACGGTTTATCCCGTGAACTCGTGTCTGACCGCAACCCTCGGTTTACGGCAAATTTTTGGCAATCCGTGTTTCGGTCGCTCGGAACGCGTTTGAAAATGTCGACATCTGAACATACCGAAACAGATGGTCCGACGGAACGTTCAAACCGTGTCTTCGAAAAGAAGCTTACAGGAAATGTCCTCTCGCTCTCGATTTGGAGCGACTTCCCACCCATGGTGGAATTTGCCATCAATAATTAATTGCATACTTCAACTTAGCATACACCGTTCTTCGTGAATGGTTTGCGTCATTTACGTCTGCCCAACCGATTAGAGTGTGACTATTGGATAAGGGGCGAAGGGACTCGCTCGATCAAAAACCGTTCTGAATCTTGATCATCACGTTTTGACGCTAACTTCGTCACGTATGATGCCGATGTCTATAATGTCGACATCGAAGAAGAGGATCATGTAGGAAATAGCGTCATCACTATCATTCGATCAAACGATCATGATGATGATGGTATCTTCAGCATCGCTAACGAACTCTCCGGCGAGAATTATGACACCCTCGCTGATGAACAGAAAGAGGAAAGGACTGTTCCTGCAGTTTTCACAAGGTGAAATGAACAAAATAATGTCGAATCAGCAGAAGAATTTCTGCTGGCTTGAGAATTAGTACTA